CTTCGTCAGTCGTCGTCGTTCATTCCACGTCTCGTCAACATGACACAATATCTGTGACGTAAAGTTTTCACTGCAGTCTCCGATCGAGTCTCCTTAGGACCTCTCGTTTTGTGGGGGGACGTCCTCTGTAGATCGTCCCAAGGGCAACGAACCAGATGCGCGGACATCGAACTCAGCCGACGACGGGAGCCTCGTTCGTGTACACAATCGAATGCAGCGGACCCTCAGGTCAGACTGGCGTTGTTTGGTGCACTGCATTCCGTTGTACGCGCCGACTAAACCACCTGCTCAACGCTTCGATACACTGCGAGAACTTGCAGTGGCCGACTGCTCTCGTTCACCGCTACGCCCCGCGGCGCGTCAGGATTTATATTTCGCGGGTCGCGTGTCTTATTTGATTGGTCCAAAGGATTTTGTTGCATTTTTCGGATTGGCTAGAATTCTGCTGGAGTTCGTTCCAATTGGTCAACATAACTGGTGTCCCCGACGACGCCGCCGTTGTTCACTTGTGAGAATCATGGACGCGCTGAGAGCGTGCGACGAGTTCAAGGCGAAGGCGACGGCATGCTACGGCGCCTGGTTCGACCGGCTGCTGGCGGGACGCTTTGAGCAAGCTGACTGTGTGCAGGAGTCAGACGACTACAAACAATGCATCCTCGACGCCATCGAGCGCAACAAGGACCAAGCCAAGCCGACACGTCCGCCGACGTCGCGGCCGCCACCAACCGCGCCAGCTCCGTAGAGATCTTTAACACGTATATCCCAACCATCGATAGACTGGCATTGTTCGCAAGCGTGGGGAGAGGGACTGTGCTTACGGTCCGAGGCACTTGAGTTGGTCCAAGATGAAGCTCAGATCCACCGCTTTCTCCTTGAGGTAATGGTACCGGTCGCTCGCGCTAAAGTGGCCAGCATCCAGATCCATCTTGAGCAGCACTTGGTTGTCGTCAGTCTTCATGTCTCGCAATTTGGCCACCTGCGCGCCATCCACGTAGCTGAGCAACTTTAACTCGAGACTGAGCAATGTACCCATTTCGTCGGCTCCCAGTACGCCACACGCGGGTCAAAGAGGCCACCCGTCACGAGCATGTTCGGGTACGCTTGGGCTTTCACGTTTTCGTACCTAGGTGAAGGCCGTCAGAAGAAACACAGCCATGTGCCATCGTCGTACGGCGAGTACTGGAGCATGTAGGCAAAGAACTGGAGCTCGTTCGGGTTGCCCCACTCGGCCCACTCGCCCGTCGTGAGCGGAATCGTGGCGTCCGACATACTGTTCATCACATCGACAAAGGGGACGCCCGCCACGGCCTAGGCAGATCCACGTCACAAAAGGTTTCGATGCATGCTGTCTCTCGCACCGCCGTGAACAGGTCGGGCCGTCGGTTCAACACGGCGCCCATGAGCAGCCCGCCGGCGCTGCGGCC